ATGATGAGTACAGTATGTATCCAGATAAAGAGCAAAGTGATTGGACCTTGCACATCCTTTACCTTTGAGGAGACATTCTGACCTGCTCCTTCCCTGGGTCTGTGATGTTATCTAGTATGTGTTTCTGGATCTCGCTTTAAAAAATATTCCTGCAAATGGGGTGGAAATATGTGTAGCTTTAGAGGGGGAACCTGTGCAATACCCAATTTTGTCACCTGTCTACACAAAGCCCATATACAACAATCATCCTTCCACAATCACAGTCAATCTTAACAGTGTTATTCGTTTCGTTTAGTCGTGCCCGACTCTTCGTGACCCCATGGACCAGAGCATGCCAGGCCCTTCTATCTTCCACTGCCTCCCGGAGTTGTGTCAGATTCATGTTGGTTGCCTCGATGACACTGTCCAACCATCTCGTCCTCGGGCGAGATGGTTGGACAGTGTGTTATAATACTTTTTAAAAATGAGTAAACCAAGGGGGCTAACAAAGAATGTTCCAGAATGCAAAAAGGTTGTCTAGATCCACAAGTCTTTCTCTTCGGCCTACAGCTGTGTGAAATGGCTGGTGGAATGGAGGCAAGGAGATATACATACTGACTGAAATCCTATTTTAACTTATTCTGTATGAGACTGGTGATGTCATTAGCCGAACTGATTTTTTTAATATAAATTAAAAATGCAGCTTCCAAAGGTTTCGTGCCTCCCTTGGGATCTCTTTCATCATGGAAAAGCCTTTGGAGACTGCTGGATGGGGAGGATTTTTCAGTTTTTAAAAATTCCTAGCTATTTCTGGAAATTAACCCCCCCATTTCACCGTCTCCAGCGGCTTCCCTATAATGGGCATTCCAAGGGATCCTCAGAACCTTTGAAGTGGGTGAAAGGGAATAAATTAATTTCTAAAGAAACACCACTGCTGATGACATAAGCCTTATGCGGAATAGGTTACAGTACTGTGACCTATTTCATCCACTGTGTGGTGACCTCAATTTGAGCCTTCTGAAGCACCTCATTGGTTCAAGTGCCCAGAGGAGATATTGGGCTTCATTGGTGTTGTGCATCTCTCGCCTTCTCAGTTGGCACTAACAGCTCACTCTTTTATATTACTGTGGATTACCCCTTCCCTCAGTTCAAATTGCTGCCCATCTTTTTAATGTGTTGAGTGCCAAATGGGATACGAAGATCAATTATGATATTGCATATCCAAGGATAAACAATGAATCCTTAACTTCCCTCCATCACTCTAGAATCATACAAATACCACTAATTTGGAGAGTTTTTACTTATTTTGTCCAAGACGGTGCACATACCTAGTACAGAACAAGACACACTTTCTGATGGACTGTTTGTAAATAGGCTTTAGAGGTGAACACTGGCACTTTAAGTCAAACCTCCTGTACATTAACTAGAAGCCTGTACAGTTTATTATTTTTTTCAAGAGGGTAGCAATGTTAGTCTGTTGCAGGACAAACAACAAAGAATCCTGTGGCACTTTTAAGACTAACATGTTCACTTTGGCATACACTTTTGTGGATTCTGAGCCACTTCTTCAGTTCCACAGAATGTTGTTTCAAATGACAGATTTATAAAGGGGAGAGAATTCCTTATTTCCATTCCAGTGCACCCGCCTATCCTGCCATTACACTATCAATGTAGACATCCTTCAGTCTCGAGATACTATAGTAACGTGCTCTGTATGCAGGATTTGGAACCGTGTCTGGTGTGGCTGAGAAGGCCAATTCGAGAGTGACAATCCCTTCCACAGTGAAGACAAATAAATAAATAAATAAACAAATGTCTGTTTATTATGCCTGCACTCTGTGAATCTGAAGGAGTGGGCTACACTTCATGCCAAATAAAAGTTTTCAGTATTTTAAAGAGGCTACAAGACTTTTGCTGAAATTCTCGATACTATAGTTGGAAGCCTTGAGCAGCTTTTGGGAAGGTAGCTGAGAAATGTAGTGGATAAACGTATGGACACAGCCTTTTCTGCTCTTTTGACATCCTTAGTATTAAAGGACCATGTTCCTGTATTCTCTATTTTCTGTAGGCAAAGCTCATTCTATAACCTCTCTGAAGAAACCTCTTGCCTTGGAACACACCTGTTGGCTGCTTTTCCTTTCTTTTTTTCTGTCTTAGGTGGGTTAAATGCCAACTTCATGCTGAGCCTCATGTACAACATATTTGTTCCTGTTTTCTATTCCTCCTGCTGCTTCATTGCAAATTGCTGCTGGCTAAATCGTATCTGATGGGACTCTTTCCTATTGCCTGCAAAATGTTTTACTTTGGTTTCTTCCCTCTCTTACTTTCTTCTCCTTCTTTTTGTCATCTTTTTGATCTTGCAAATCCAGGTCCTGAGAGAAATCAGACAGTATGAAATATGAAAATTGCTTGAGAAGTAATTGGAGAAACAGCGAGACTTATGAAACCCATAGAGATAGTGCTTTCACCTACTTATTCACAATATTTAATTTTTAATGGCAGTTTTAATTAATGGAGCATAGGTCTTTGGTTTCCTTTCAGGATCCAAAGGGAATTGCAGGACAATGAAGAAAGGGTGGCATTAAAATCTATGAGCTCCACATTTTTTGACAGGAATATGTATGTGTGAAAGCTCCAAAACAAAATGAAATTGACTGTTATGTAACAAAAATAAACAAATAAAACGACTTAGTGGCTCCCTGTCAAAATGCATTTTCAGATGGGGACTCATCGGCAATTTGTCAATTCCTGACAGAGAGTTTTTTTCAGTCAAACCTGTGAAGACAGTCCTCTACTGTGGCTTTTTTTTCCTGTGACACATAAAGATACATCTCACAATAATGCTTCCGTGTAGCGAGTTTGAAAGGGATATCAAAGCATGCGTCTATAAACCTGTTAATTTATGAACTCTTCAAGAAAAGTGTCATCACTTTTCTTGAAGCATACCAAAATACAAATGCATCCAAGGAAGGGGAGAATTACAAGCTGTAATAATGACCTTTTTGTTGTTGTTAAAACCCTGTGGTTTTTTTGTATACAACTCTGACAAGACATAGCAATAGAATATGAAACAATACAGAAGAGTAATTTTATATGAGCAACTGTGCTGAAGTGGACTTAGAGGGGAAGTGAAACTTTTCTAATCGTGGTATGTTCTGTACAGCAGAGGTCCCCAACCCCTGGTCCGTGGCCCAGTGCCAGTCCGTGACCTGAGCCGGACTGGGCCACGGAGACAGACCTCCTTCCCCACGCACACACCCATCCCTGCATAGCTGATTCGTGCATGCACGCACGCTCCAGCGTGCCTGTGCAAGTGCTGTGCTGCCATTTGTGCATGTGCATGAGCGCAGGTGCGGCCGGACAAACGCCGTAATGTTTGCACATGAGTGTGCATGTGCTTGCGCAAGTGCCATGCTGCTGTTTGCTCATGCACACGAACGAGTGTGTGCCCGCACAAGCGCCACGCCACCATTTGCACATGTGCACGAGCGAGTGCTCGTTTGTGCGAGAGACAGCGTGCACTTGTTCGTGCATGCGTATGAGCGTGGGGGGTGCCCCACCTTCCCCAGCCAGTCCATGGGGTGAGAAAGGTTGGAGACCCCTGCTGTACAGGATAAGGAAGGTAGGAAATGTCAATAGGGATGGGATTTTTTGATTTCTTGGACTCCAAATCCCATTAATTCTCCATTCTCTCTGTTTGACAGACAGACACCTTAAGAAAGGCCTCGACTGGAACACTTTGAAATTAATCTAAGCCTAGCTCAACCCAAGCTTCCTGTTCCTGTCTCAGTGCTACCTGGGTGCTTTCTTTTTTAAAAGGAAGCCCAGCAGACCTAGACCTAGCTCAGCCCCACAGCCTTCCAGGTGAGGCCTTTTTCTCAGGTGAGTCACATTTAGGTGTCTGTAAGGTAACTGTCTTATCAGGTAGAAGTCCCAGAATGGAGAATTAATGGGATTTGTTTAAAAACAAAAAACAACCAAAAAGCAAAATCTGTTCATTAATTTTTTATAATGCTATTTTTTCTCATTCACTTCCAAATGTAGTATGTAATTTTTTACTTATCTATTTAGCCACTTGTTGTTAAGCCACAAGCTGAAAAATAAATATTTCTACATGGAATTTGCTTCTGTTATGTAGATGAAATGGCTAGGAACAGTCCCACATGTTATGTGATAATCATGTCTTGAGTCAAGTTTCCTCTCTCTGAACATCTGGTGGTGACTATATTTAGGCTCAGATAATAAATGGAAAACATGGAGACCTCCTTAGGCATAACCATGATTGCTTTGTGAATCAGGGATGTAGAATTTGTCATATGTTGTTTACTGTCTTATCACCTAAAAATGAACTGCTCCCTATTGTTTTAGATAGACATTCTTGCTACTTTTCACTTTATGAACTAAAGATACTATACTGATATACAGTAGTTGCTGTGATATGTCCAGTTCAGATGGACCAAGTAAGATTTTTTTAGGGGGGGTATGCTGTTACAGGAGAAATCTGTTTGGGCTATTTATCTGATCATTTGTTCTCTTCCATGACATGTATAATTGTTATGTTTCTGATCTGGTAATTGTTGTCTTTGGTTTTAACTGGTTTTGTTGCACCTGCCAGATCCATGTACTCCCAAGGGGCCCATCTCTCAGGAAGGCACACACATTTACTAGGGAAGCATGCCTGCTCCCTCATAGCTCAAATCTGTTTTCATTAATCTGGAGGTGGAATATGTACTAATGTCCTTTCGCACTTATTTTTAATAAAGGAGCATGTTCTTCCACATCAAAAATATATCTTGCTATGTGCAAATATGTTATGTTTGCTAAGTTTGATTGGTTGTTATGAGAATCAGTTCGGTGGTGACTAGTCATGATACCTTAACATGTATAGTATATAATAACGGTGTTTCTGCTTTCTTCCAATGCAGAAAACCCAAGATAATCCTATTTTAAGTACTATTTTGCTGAATGTTACACTTTAAGAAACTTTTTTAGTACTCAATAATGCTTTCCTTAATTTTCAGAATTCTGAAATTTACAAGCTGACTTTGGATCAGTATAAAGAAGCGGTCACCAATGCAGAAGATGAGATTAGGTAAGAAACCAATTTTTCTTTCACTGTTGCATAGTTAGTACAGAACACCTAAACTCTCTTTTCCACAGGGTGATGACTCCATGTAGTTGTTTTGTGACATTTTGAAATGTTGTTGTGTATCCCCTTGCAAGCATAATGTATGTGTACATCAGGGTAGGCTACATGTGTCTTCCAGGGGTCCAGCTGCATCCCCCGAAACCACTGGGATCTCCAACCCTCTATACACCCCTCCACATTTTTTAAAAATATACGTTTTTGTTGAGAAAAACACCTTGCACTATCTAGGGCGCATATAGGAAATGTTGCTGTGTTTTTATGGATCCCAGTACCGTTGCCACTATCCCCCAAATTGAAAAATAAAAATCTAAAAATATATTTATTTCTCTACTATAGGGTGCAAAACTACCCCATATTGCCCAAGAAAAATTTTGGGGTGTAGGGAGTATGTGCATGCTTCCAAGGTCTAGGGATGAACATCTTCAGCCCACAGACCAAATGTCAGATCCTTGAGAGGATGCTTGACTCCCTAAGGAGTCCTACAGAGATTTATTTATTTATTTATTTATTTATTTCATTTATATCCCGCCTATCTGATCGACGGACCACTCTAGGCGGCTTACAACAAGGATAAAACAATAGCTAATACAACTTATATAAAAACATATTCAACAGTTAGATCGAACGCAAGGAGGGAAAAAAGAGAGGAATCAGAAATTGGCTGGGGGGGGGGGAAAGGCCTGCCGGAACAGCAATGTTTTTAGTTGTTTTTTGAAAATACCCAGCGAGGGAGCCGCGCGAATATCAGGAGGAAGGTTGTTCCAGAGGCGAGGAGCCACCGCTGAGAAGGCCCGATTTCTTGTCTTTTCCTTCCGGGCTTCCCTCGGCGTTAGGCTCCTCAGCCTCACCTCCTGGCTCGCACGAGTGATACGGGTAGATCTTGGTGGCAGAAGGCGTTCCACCAAATATCGAGGCCCTAAACCAT